CTTCTGGAGTTCCCATACATTTCAAAGTGAAAGTCAATTAATACTTAATAATACATTCAATGAATGTGTTGTGAAACCGGATTATAATGTATTGAATAAATTATGTCAAATTGAATGCTATTATTATTTAACAAGATTTCGGGTTAATTATTTTGAAAGCTATGATGATGTGTTCGTAATGTATTATTATAATACAAATGTTAATATGGTTTGGAATTATAGTCCAAAAATGGATTTAATTACATATTTGTCATCAATGGGTGGACTGATGGGGATGTGGTTGGGATTCAGTGTCTATACGATTGTCACCACAACTATAGATGCCTTCAAATTTATTATTTGGAGATTAAAACGGATTAAGGGATGGAAAATTGATTTTAAAAAGTTTATACTTTTTAGAAAATATATTAATTTTTCGACACTTATTGTATGTGTTTTATTAATGTGCTATCAAGTTTATGACATTTATCAAGAATATCGTAAAAATAATATTAAATTTACAATGAATTTAATTTCAAGCATTAGTGTGCCCCAGGTTAGAGTAACTATTAACCCAACGGTGATAAACAATAGGTTTTTGAATAAAATTTATCCTGATGATGATAGTAACACAAAATTAATTCTAGAAATATTGTCCACAAGTAATATGCAATTATACCGCAGTATACTATATGACTATAGAGCAGTCGATTGCTATTTTCTATTTACCAACTCATTGAGACTAAACTGCCCTGATCATGAACATCAAATAAATGTTCTAATAAGTGATCGACCATATATGATTCATAATTATTTCACAAACATAACCAATGAGTTTATGTCAACATTTAAATCACTACTAATTGATCACCGATTGGAGAGAATTGTGTTGAGGTATAGGAGCCGTAACTTTTCGTATATAGTTCTTCGTATAGACTCCAGTGAAACGTATAGTTCAACAGCGATTGACAAATACAGCGAAACTAATGTCATGTTTAGTACGAAATCGTATCGACAGTTAAATAGAGATTCATTTCAATGTATAGAAAGTGGGCCAACACTGGCCGACCAATTGTTTTATAGCAATCATTTTAATCGGCGAACAAATTACCGAGGTTGTATAGTTCGTGAGCTAAATCATACAATCAATTGTCTGCCACTTATTGGTGTAGACTATTACATAAGAATTGAAAAGCATTTGCAATATTCTGGGTATAAATTCTGTGCTAATTATACGGATTCTGTGAATCAAACGGTTATTAATGAAATTAGGAGAAAATGTCATAAACTTCATTCCTATGATAAGAGTTATTGCATAAATAATATGATCGAGACAAATTTAGTAAAAGTGAGATCTAATCTGAATTACACCCAGATCAATTTAATATCACATCACTACTTTATGCCACAAATCACTGAACACTTAGCTATGGATTACAATGACTTATACTATAACATCGGTGGCACTATTAGTATGTGGATTGGATTGTCCATGCTATCTATTAGCAGTGTAATCTTATATGTATATTATCTGTTAATATCATTATTTAAATTTATCTACAAACATTAATTTATAATTACTATATATTATATTAATATTACAGACCATTGTTGCACACAAACATAATTTTTAAATATATAAAATGTTTTAATTTACATTTTATTTACCGATCTCGAGTCTGAATAATACACCGCATTTTATAATAATATCAGAAATATATCTATATTTATATATTTGCCTAATATTAGACCCTGGTGCCGTGATATTTTACATTCTATTGAGAAGTGGTTTAAACAAATTATATCATATAATTTACAAAAACTAATATATGCTGCTGTTATATAATTTTAAATGTACAGTAAATTTTATTCGAAAAATTATCATTAAAACTATAAATTACAAAAAGTTGAATGCTATTAGAATTAATGTAGCATGACAAAATCATTATTCACAATTTATTTAATAAAATTGATTTTAAATGTCTATTAAATATAGCGTTTGGCAGCGATTTCTTTGAGCTTAACCTTTTGCACTTTACCGGTCACTGTCCGGGGAAAGTCGTCCACAAACTCAATGTTTTGCGGTATTTTAAAGTGACTTATCTAGGTACAATAGAAACACATAAAATAAATATTATTCAATAACAAAGACTATTAAATTTAATAACATTTTTATAGAATTAGAATATTCTATTCAGCCTGGCTACTACTGTAGTATATATATTATTTTCAATTGTATAGAAATTTTTAGGCCAAATATACATACCTTTCCCTTACAAAACTCGATTACCTCCCAGGGCTCTAGCGAACCGTTATTCTTGAGCTTAATATAGGCGACCAAATCCTCGCCAAACCTTTTGTGAGGAACTCCTACCACCTATTGGTTGGCAAACATAATGTCATTACATTTAACACTAAATACTCGAAACAATATTAAACTGTTTTACGTGAGCGTCGGCTACGAAAGGGTGGCTCATCAGGAAGTCCTCAATCTCTTTGGGGTATATATTCTCTCCGCCCCTTATTATCATCTCTTTGATGCGACCGTTGATATACAGATACCCGGATGAGTCCAGGAATCCCATATCACTTCAAATATATGTCAAGAATTCATATAAAATTGTTATAATATTCTCTATAAGGGTATAAAATACATGTTATCTAAAAGTTAACATGGTATTTGTAAATAATATCTCTCTCTGTAACTGGTTATTGGTTGCCTAGTGTGTAATTTTTAAATTAACATCAATTTTAAATTATTTGTTAAAACTTTATAAATTAAAAATCGACACAATTTCACAAAAATATTTAGTTTTAAAGTTATATTGGATAATAAATTTATATTATTGTAATACAAAATAGTATTTAATACATACTGTTTTTCGCAAATATTTTAATTATATTTAAGCAGTGATTAAGTAATGTAATAATTAAAACAGTTATATTTATGAATGCCTGCCCACTTGTATATTTGAATTGAGGTGAGGTGAGGTGTGTGTATGTGTGAGTGAGTGAGTGAGTGAGTGAGAGAGAGAGAGTTTAGACTATAATCACGAGAATTGCGGTCAAACTTCAAGTCAGTGTTCACTTCGTACTCCAAATAATTGATTGTTTGGTCATATATTTGGTACACAAACCCTGTTATCATTAATAACTTAAATAATAGTTTATGATTCATATAATACTTCATTATTGAAAATTTTATTTTTAAAACATTTTCAAATAAAAATATTATTATAGTTTATTAAATAAAATGATTTACAATTTTGTATGATTCTTACATTATCATACTATTCGCGTTAATGCTAACTAACTTGTAACACAAATGTTTTCATACTTTGTATGTCTATACAATATATCGTAAAATTAATTACAAAATTTCTAAATAAATTTTTGTCTTATTCATAATTAATACGTGACATATATATTTTATAATAAAAATAAAATAGTAATATTATTAGAGTATCATTAATGTGACAACTATTTTTGTTACACCATAATTAGTTATAAATTATTAATTTAAAAAAAAGAATCTAAATTAAAGAATATTGTACCTGGTAGTAAAAAGGCAATATAGAGGTTATAAATTAATTATCATCTAACTAATAAATTTTTCCTTAATGTTTATATTAATTGTATTTTACAATAATGTATACTTGAAATAATTTAATTCCAAATTATATTATATTAAATTATATGTTATAAATTAAAATAAAATAAATTAATACTAGTACAATACTGTGCTTCAAATACCAAATATATCAAATATCTATTTACTGGTACATGTAGTTCTTATGTACAATATTACAATAATATAAATGTTNTAGTACAATACTGTGCTTCAAATACCAAATATATCAAATATCTATTTACTGGTACATGTAGTTCTTATGTACAATATTACAATAATATAAATGTTAACTTATAATGAGTATAAGTAGAAACTTTATATAAGTATTTTTACACTCAATTTATTAAATTTAATAATAAGATATTTATAAATAATTTTAATATTTTTAAATAAACATTATAAGAGTGTCCCAAACAACAGAAAGTTTAAATAAAATGCAATAACATTCACATCCAATACAAAAACCTTTGATGGCATGTCTGTGCGCTTATGTACAGCAAACTACACTCACGTCAGACCCATATAAGCACTGATACCCTGTGCGAGCAGATGCAGGCATACGAGTGATGCGATTAGAGTGTAGTTCCACTCATACCACACATACACACAGTCACCGCAACTTTCAGCTAACTGTGCGCTACTCACAGCT